CGTCATAAGTAATCTAGCAATAATTTGTTTAATAGGATAAAAAAAATCCTCTTAATATGGAAATATGTCAAATGCATGGAATGACTCACTAGTACTCTTGCTAGAGCCATTTTATAAGCTGTGTTTCATAAACCAGCCTCAAGGGGGAGCTACAGCCTACACTACAAATAGCTGCACTGGCCTCCATTACGCACCACAAGGGAGAGTTAAGGGAAAAGTCTAAATGGGATGCTTGGGACGTCCCAACTGACCTTATCCCATTGAAGTTGAAATGTAAGAGTTAAGGTTAAGTAAGGTTTAAGGTTAGGGTTTAGGGTAGGGATGCCCCAAGGATCATGGATAGCACTAGCCGAGAGTTAAGTCCTTTGAACAAAACCTCTCTCAATAGGATTAATTCACTGACCAATATTTACAGTCAACATTGCTTACATGAAGTCTATATTAAGCTTCAACACAACACAATACAACCATAATGCCAAATATAGTGACCAATGGGTCTTCTCTTTGGTAGAATGTGCCATAAGGCCTACACATTTTAGAGAACACTACCTATTGATCAAGCGTTTCCTACCTGGCATGGGCTTCAAAGTGGGGAATATATTATCGTACAACATATACAGACTGGCTATTTTTTGTCTGCTGTGGAAACATGCCCAAAGGTCAGACTCACTGGAAAAGCTGGGTTTCTAGTGACACGATTTCTTAGATAGCATGATACCATGCTGTATGATACTGTACTGCTGATTAATATCCAAAGGGAGAACTATCTATTAAACAATGATTATGTACTCAGTACAGTAGGCCTAAATTCAGCTGTGAAATGTTGCTGGTAAATATTGATTGTGAAATGTTGATTCTTAAATTAAAAAGTTTACCTGTTCGCGCATCTTCAATCTGTTCTTCTGCCTGGGTAAGTTCTTCTGTTGAAACAAAACAAACCACAGTTAGAACCAAAAAAACAGCTTCCACAGTCTTGAGTAAACTACAGAGCAGTACTACTTGACATGCTTTCAGAGAACAGGGTCAATGGCCACTATGAAAAAATACAATTTATACAGAAGAGCTGTTCCTAGTTATAACATTGGAGTTCAAATAATCTTAGCACCAACCTGTCAACTCAACTGGCTCATCAAATTCATCTGCCTCCTCTGCAACAGAAAAGCAACAGTTGCAGTTAGTTGAGAGAGACAGACAGACAGAGAAAGAGAGAATTGAAGAAATAATTAAAGTAAATTACTTTCACGGTTGCAACATCTGGAGGTATATGCTTGCACAGGCACGTACGTAATCACACACACGACACATACCTGGAAACTCTTCCTGAAGAGCTTCCTCCTCTTGAGTTTCTTCTGATTCAGCGTCTGCTTCCTCTTCTTCTGCTGTTTCTTCTACCTCTTCTGTGGAGCAAAGCAACAATGAATATAAGAACACACCATTATTTTCCAAAACACTGATTTAATCTATTATTGTGCAAAAAGGTGACATAGAAATGCAAAATGGACAGGAGACACAGAAAAGTGAGTACCCTATTCACTACCCCAAGATTATATGTGAAAAGGGCCTGTGCATGATCTCTCTACATACATGCAGCTATTCTCAGCAGATAATGTGTGCATACACTTCAGCAATGCACCACCTGGCGTTCAACAGTGTTCGTTCTGAGAGCAGTGTGAAGAAAAACGACTTGTCAGCACAAACCCGAAGCCCTTGAGAGGATTTTTGGTTCAATACTTTTTAGACCCAGATTAAGCCTACCTGGAATAAAAGCCTATTGCTCTGTTCTGGATTATTTTTCCTTACCCTCTTCTGCTGGTGCTGCCTCCTCTTCCAGTGCCTCCTCTTCTGCTGGCTCCTCCTCAACTGGTGCAGCCTCTTCTTCTGCGGGGGTGGCCTCTTCCTCAACAGCCTGTTCTACGGCATCAACTTCCTCCTCAGCTGGGACGGCTTCCTCCTCAACGGCTGCAGCCTCTTCCTCCTCAGGTGCAGCCTCTTCGTCAACCATCTCAACAGGTGCAGCCTCTTCATCCTCAGGTGCGGCTTCCTCCTCGACTGGGGCGGTTTCTTCTAAAACCTCTTCCTCAACGGGGGCAGCCTCCTCCTCTAAGGTCTCTTCTACAGGGGCAGCTACCTCCTCCACAGGTGCAGCCTCTTCATCCTCAGGTGCGGCTTCCTCCTCGACTGGTGCGGCCTCCTCAACAACCTCCTCCTCGACGGGAGCACCCTCCTCCTCGAAAGCCTCTGGCTCCTCCTCCAGAACTTCTGGCTCTTCCTCGATTTCAGGCTCATCCACCTCAGGCTCTTCCTCCTCAATGGGAGCAGCATCCTCCTCGACGGTAGCAGCCTCCTCCTCCTCCTCGACGGTAGCAGCCTCCTCCTCGACGGTAGCAGCCTCCTCCTCCTCCTCAAAGGTAGCAGCCTCCTCCTCCTCCTCAAAGGTAGCAGCCTCCTCCTCCTCCTCCTCCTCCTCAAAGGTAGCAGCCTCCTCCTCCAGAACTTCAGGCTCTTCCTCAAAGATTTCAGGCTCATCCACCTCAGGCTCTTCCTCCTCAACAACCTCAGTCTCTGTAGGGAAAAGATAGCATTAAGCAATTTAGCTGATAACGTGGATTTCCTGCCAAAACCAACTAAAGCAAGTTTATGATATTGGTTGACATTTTCATTTTAAAACTTGACAATTTCAATCCACAATACATTCAAACATCTTAGAAAATGTTGTCAAGCTCACACACACACCTGGTGGGAAAGCAGCAGTTTCCTCTACTTCGGCGGCCTCAATCACTTCTTCAACAATGCGTTCTGGTGCGGCTGAAGCGAGGGGCAGCGGGGAGAGATGAGGGAGTAGAGGGGAACCGTTAAGACCATCCACCTGATCCTTTAACTAAGTCATTATCTGGCATACTTCATAGTTTTCCTCTTGCACAGAACGTTTCAAATGTCTTCCTTGAGGCACATTTATGAAACTTCTCTAAGTCTGTGTGTCAATAAAGAATAATAAAGATAAACAAAAAAGTGTATGCTCCTTTATTAAAATAAATCATGAACCTGCAGACCTACAGTATAGAAACTGCTGACTAAAACCATGGTAGGTATAGGTCTGGCACATTGGTTTGTATAATGTCACAACAGGTATAGGTGTCTAATCGACAGTAGGTGTAAGCATGTTGTGTACACAACAGTGCCAGGTATTTGGCAAGAATAGATTATCAGAGCCAATGGATAAAGGGTAGAGAACGGCTTATGTCCCCTGAACCAATGACAGGCCCTCTGGGGAAACAGGTATAGCCTCTACAGGTGGCAGACATATGGAATCAATAGAGTCTACATGTTAGTACAATGAGTTTAATGGTTAACTCTTGACATAGATAGCCGTAGCAGCACCATGTGGTTGTCTGGTGGAGGACAGTTCTACTGAGGCCAAAGGTGTCATTAACACCCCTCAAGAGCGAGTCAGCACCTTAATAGCGCTTGTGAGCTTCTAGTTGGATGCAATTTTGTCTAGTTAAGCCCACAGTTCAAATTCGATGAAAATGACGAGGAATAACATGCATGTTTAAGCAATTAGTATAATGCATAAACTTCTGTCAAGGGGACGTTGTATGTAATTGTAATATGAGGAAATTAGGTAGTAGGCCATGTTTGAGTATGACAAATATAACCACTGGTCACATTCTTAATGTACAGAAGGTATGTAACAGTGTAGTGTAGTAGAGTGTCTGATAAATGACAAAAATGTAAATGTAGATGTGTTTGTGGCATCTGTATGTGTTCAAGGGATATGCCCACCACCGGCGCCACTGGGGCATTCTCCTGTGGGTGGGTGGCATTGAGAGAGTGCATACAGGCACACATAAGTTACCTCTTATGAGCTTTACCATCTACTACAGTTAAATGCTGCTCTGTGTGTGTGTGTGTGTGTGTGTGTGTGTGTGTGTGTGTGTGTAGACCCGCAGGAGTTGTACCTTCTTCCACAGGTGCTGCAGGAGCCTCCTCTGGTGCTCCCCCTCTGCTAATGATGATGGTAGCCTTCTCTTTCAGTCCTGGGGGTTTTACATGTGATGCAGGGGGAAGAGGACGACATGGCAACAACTCATGTTCAGGAGAAGTGCCTTTACGAAGGCTACAACTCTGTATAATGTATTTGGCTAGTTGGCTTGCTTAGTAATATTCATGTATATGGCTAGTAACAATATAGCAACATTAGGATTTAGGTCTAGGAGGTCTTATGTATCATCTTTTATTTAATGAACATCATTCAAAATAAAATAAAAAGATAACATTTAAAGACTGATTTGGGTTTACTTTTGTGCTTCCAACACTGAATTTGTATTGTGTTCCGATATGCTGTGAAAAGTGAGGTCTACAGTGCTAAGAGAGAGATCAGGACAGGAGAGAAAAAGAAGAGCATTCCAGTAGAAACAGGAAGAAGTGCCCCTTTCGGCACAATGTCATGACCTTGTGTATGCATGCAATGCCCATTTGTGTAACACCAAAGCATCTTATTTGAACCGTGTGGGACAAGTGCACTTGGAAGACATGAAACCTTCAAGGATCCAGCAACTTTATTAACACAGAACACACATAGCTGATCCTTTCAAATCTATAATTTGTCCTTTGATGAAATCACGTGTTCCATCTCCACTAAATGCTAAATAAATTATTTTGTCTTTGTCCAATTCTACAAATGTATTCTCTAGTGACTCTAAATAATGTTATCTTTATTGTAAGATTATAGCACCTTGTGGTACTCTTGGCACCTTTCCTTTAACAGTTCATAATTCTATAGAGGACATCATTGTGATTCTCACAAGCAGGAAGTGGCTAAAACAATATGCACTATACATTGCGGGAATGGAAGCCCTGCACACTAGGTGGTTTCCTACTCCCATTCGCAGAGGTTTATAACTGGAGTGAAGGCTCTCACTGGAGGGGTTTCTCCTGAATAATTTAACATCCTGTGTCACTGCCTACCCATAGGTAGTGCAGGTGTGAAGAGTCTCGCATCATTTCCTGACCCCCTTATCAGACACCTTGAGCTTTTTAGCAGAAGCTTTGGGGGCCTCTTTACTTTTGGCCTCTTTTGGGGCCTCTGCCTTCTGACCCACCGCCTCTGCCTCTTTCCCCGACTTCTTCTCTGGCTTCTTCTCCTTCTTATGTTTCTTGCCCTTCTCCTCCTCCTGCTCTTTGTCTCTCCTAATCTTCTCCAAGGCCTTCTCAAACTCCTCCTTCTCTATCTTCTCCTCCTCCTCCTTCATCCTAGCTGCTACCGCCACCTTGGCCTTCTTTGCCGACTCATCCCTCGTCACCCCCAGGACCTTCTCTTCCTCCTCCCTGGCCAGGATGTTCCTCACCTCGGCCAGCGCCATCTTGGCAATCTTTTTGGCTTCCACTCGCTCATGGATGATGGCTAGCTGCTGTTTTAGTGCCTCCCTCAGCTTCCAGCCCACGTCTTTGGTCAGAGGGTGTTCTGGGATACGAGAATACTGTTTAGCTGCTTTGACCGTTTTTTTTTAGTCGCCAGGCTGCTAGGGTCACACTGCAAGCATTTTTCTGACCACACTCCAAGCATTTAGTAGGTTGCAAAGCACCCTGGGTATTTGGATTTGCTGACTGGGAGTGTTAGGATAACAGCAAGTGGCATCTTTCTGCACTTTAGAAAGGTTTCGTTACAATTTACCCTGTCAAAATGTAAAGGTGTATAGGGCCATGGTCTGACGCATCTTACTACACAGATGGGATTCAGTTAGTCCAACAGTTATATGATGTTGTCCAATATAACACCCAGCACACCACTGACAAGGTGAATTTCAATTATTTCATACCAAAACCCTATTACAACAAAAGCGGTAGTCAAATAAAGCATGCGACTAAAAATCAATTCAAACTTTTATGCCAAGAAACATAGCCATTATTTTTCATAAATTCAAACTTCATTCTACTAGTAAATACAAATTCTAAAGACCACAATATGGTTATTAGAACTAAAGTAAGCAAGACCTTTTTAGCTCAAAGTCTACTGTACACTGGAACCCACACCGTTCCTCATGCAATACCTTTTTGGGCTTCTCTCTTGGCAACATGTCCTGGCTTTTCATCTGAGGTTTAGGAAAACAAAAAGTTACATACAGTTATAGTCTCAGTTAGACAGGTGTATCTGCTTGGTGCTCAACCACCAATAGGAACAGCCAAATCGAAGAGCCTACCCATAGTACGGGAGAGCAACTGTTACAACAGAACAAAACCAAGCTCAACCAATAACAGATAGAGGGAAGTATTGTACCCCACTCAGCTTTCATTGACACCATTGGCAAGCTTACACACAGGCAACTATTTATTATCCAGCAGGGCTAAGCTTTTCTCTCACAATCTAATAGTAAAGCCTTTGACATACAGCTTTCAGAGTATTAAGAGTAATTTGTGGACAGGATCTACTTGGACCATAGCAGCTGGGGGTGGTCACAATTTAGGGGCAAAGTCAGTATGAATTAAAAACAAAATGAGCCAGACCTCAAACATAGTGTCTGAGTTATAGGCAAAAAAACAAAAACATTTACAAAAATGTGCACATTGACAACATGGAAAAGCTGACAAAATGCTACAACTAGACAACCTACAAAGCAATCTGGACATTGATCCACGACAAAGTACCTTCTGTCGCCTTATTTTTCTTGACCTTTGTTTTTGGAGATTCTGTTTCAACTAAGTCGACTAAGAAAAGAAAAAACAATGACTACTGGAAGAAATCATCACTAACTTAGCAATGTTAAGATATCCAGGTTCTCTAACTAGCAGCCCAGCTTTCCATGAATGTAATGCCATGCATCTAATGACACGCATCTAAAGGAGACATTTGGCAGAGTCGGCTACTCAGAGCTTCTTGAGGTTTTACTCTCAGCAGAGAGAATGGGGGGGGGGGGGGGGGGGGAGCAGGTAAAGTACCTCTGTGTCTCACTCTTTTCCGATCGCGTCGAGGTTCATCTGATATTTTTCAAAAGGAACATGGCATTAGAAGCTAACAATCCAGTAACCATTAAAAACAATATTCAGAATATTTGACAACTCAAAACATGCCCATGCTACATCTCATAGGCAACACATGCTACCACACAATCACGATTGCATAGTGCTTACCCATACCTCCTATTCTGATGGTTTCATTCCATTACTTGTAGGAGTATGCAAAACTGACGACCACGTGAGTGTAACATGACTGTATAAGGAATTTTACACCTAACCAATACATTTGGATTCATATTCATGCCATTTGAGGATTGTTGACCCTTTCGTCAACAGTGCCAAAGACCAACTAAAACAATAGATGGTAGTCCACAATCAGCACAATGCCCCCCCCCCACACACACTTTACCAATGCCTTCCCTAATTGGTCAAGACTACTCTATTCAAATTGTTTGTCAACAGCCACCGACTTCCTTTAACTTGAGAACATTAACCTCACCAGTTGAACCTGCTATGTAGCGATACTGTCGTTGCTCAGTCATTGTACTTGAGCACCAAGTGAAGTCTAAATGATTGAAGCCAATATGACATCTGAATGGGCTCCAACCAACAGCTTGTTCAGCAGGTTTCTTGCATCTTTAACAGCACTATTCCTTGTACCCTTTGTGCCAGACATTTGTGTTTGCTAATACTTACTAGAAGCCTGTGTTTGCTTACCAAAAAAAATAAAAAGTGTTCAATGTTGTCATAGATGACACATTTTTTACCATACATTACAAATGACTGGAACTTCACTCTGCAGTTCTAGAGTTCCACCTATAGGCTACAATGTTTAGCGTTTAAAGATTAAGCTAGCTGGGTGAGTGTCTTTAGGGCGAGTGGGAGTCAGCACTGACCCGTTTCAGAGATCTGGGGTTGTGGTTATGACGTTGGGATTGAGATGAGGATGATGCCATATCTTCCGTGTCTCAAATCAGGTAAAATGTCCATGAGGTGTGGAATTCGGTAAATGTCCTTGAACTCATATTAGCCATTCAGAATCCTCCACATCAGGGAACACGTTTTTCCAAAACCATCTTGGGCTAAATACGCAACATCATATTTAATATCCCTGTTTTAGGACTTCTAGACAATTGGTTTATGGAACAGCCGAAAGCTAGTTTCTCAAGGTGTTTGCTTAACAAAAGTTGACAGCTAACGAGAAATGATTAACACCTGTGGAATAAGTCCTCCATCAAGCCGGTCTCTAAATATCTAAGAGTAAATGACCATCTCTTGTCATTTGGCCAATATATAAAAAATGCACTACTTATCCATGCAAGTAAAAAACAACATTCACAAAAACCACTTATAAGCCGTAGCCAATAAATAACCTGAAAAACACGTTTTTATTTTGTTTAACAAATGGATGACGAAGACAAAAATGGAAAGACGGGGACAAATAGCTGACCTGAATACGTTTAAAAACCAACAAACATGGAACATTAATAGTATTCCTAACACGGACAAGAGACAAAGAAATACCATAACGAGGGAATGCTTCACTGATAAAGTCTTAAAAAATACCCTTCAAAAACCGATCTGTTGTCCAAGTGTAACTGTTCATTGCATAAATTGGAAATGCACATACAGTTGAAGTCGGAAGTTTACATACACTTAGGTTGGAGTCAATTAAAACTTGTTTTTCAACAACTCCACAAATGTCTTGTTAACAAACTATAGTTTTGGAAAGTCGGTTAGGACATCTACTTTGTTCATGACAAGTAATTTTTCCAACAATTGTTTACAGACAGATTATTTCACCTATACTTCACTGTATCACAATTCCAGTGGGTCAGAAGTTTACATACACTAAGTTGACTGTGCCTTTAAACAGAAATCCAGAAAATGATGTCATGGCTTTAGAAGCTTCTGATAGGCTAATTGACATCATTTTAGTCAATTGGAGGTGTACCTGTGGATGTATTTCAAGGCCTACCATCAAACTCAGTAGCTCTTTGCTTGACATCATGGGAAAATCAAAATAAATCAGCCAAGAACTATAAACACAGTGGGACCACGCAGCCGTCATACCGCTCAGGAAGGAGACGCGTTCTGTCTCCTAGAGATTAACGTACTTTGGTGCGAAAAGTGCAAATCAATCCCAGAACAGCAGCAAAGGACCTTGTGAAGATGCTGGAGGAAACAGGTACAAAAGTATCTATATCCACAGTAAAACGAGTCCTATATCGACATAACCTGAAAGACCGCTCAGCAAGGAAGAAGCCACTGCTCCAAAACCGCCATAAAAAAGCCAGACTACGGTTTGCAACTGCACATGGGGACAAATATCATACTTTTTGGAGAAATGTCCTCTGGTCTGATGAAACAAAAATAGAACTGTTTGACCATCGTTATGTTTGGAGGAAAAAGGGGAATGCTTGAAAGCTGAAGAACACTAACCCAACCGGGAAGTACAGGGGTGGCAGCATCATGCTGTGGGGGTGCTTTGCTGCAGGAGGGACTGGTGCACTTCACAAAATAGATGGCATCATGAGGAAGGAAAATTATGTGGATATATTGAAGCAACATCTCAAGACATCAGTCAGGAAGTTAAAGATTGGTCGCAAATGGGTCTTTCACATGGACAATGACCCCAAGCATACTTCCAAAGTTGTGGCAAAATGGCTAAAGGACAACAAAGTCAAGGTATTGGAGTGGCCATCACAAAGCCCTGACCTCAATCCTATAGTAAATGTGTGGGCAGAACTGAAAAAGCATGTGCGAGCAAGGACTCAGTTACACCAGCTCTGTCAGGAGGAATGGGCCAAAATTCACCCAACTTATTGTGGGAAGCTTGTGGAAGGCTACCCGAAACGTTTGGCCCAAGTTAAACAATTTAAAGGCAATGCAACCAAATACTAATTGAGTGTATGTAAACTTCTGACCCACTGGGAATGTGATGAAATAAATAAAAGCTGAAATAAATAAATCATTCTCTCTACTATTATTCTGACATTTCACATTCTTAAAATAAAGTGGTGATCTTAACTGACCTAAAACAGGGAATCTTTACTAGGATTAAATGTCAGGAATTGTGAAAAACTGAGTTTAAATGTATTTGGCTAAGGTGTATGTAAACTTCCGACTTCAACTGTATCCTAAAAAAGCATTATTCAGTCTTCGTCCAACCATAGGAAATCTTCAAAAAGAGACTTGAGGGGTCAACCGTGCCATGATTAAATCCTTTAAAAAGTATTCTACTAGGGATTGGTGATTTTAAGGAGGGGTTTTCCACAAACGCTTGCTCCTCAAGCAATTGGAAACAAGTCTAAAGGAGCAACAAGTTGGGACCTCATGCCAAGGGGGATATGGCTACTGGTTGTGGAGACCTAAGATCACATAACCCTTGCCCTGAACCCCGTCAGTCTGAGAAGTGCCAGCACTTTCCTCCTCCTCAGCCGCTGCTTCCTCCTCATCCTCAAATGGTTCAAACGGATTTATGAGGCCATAGAGGAAGGTGAAGAAGCCTTGAAACCAATCAGAGCCCTCCTCCGCTAACATATCCAGGACCTCCTCGAGGGAGTCCGAGCTTTCCTGACTGCCATCTTTGGTCAGGCCTACGCAAACAGAGGGGAAAACAAGGAAAGAGAGGAAGGGAGAAAAGGAAAGAGGAGAAAAATGCAGGAAGAAAGGAGGAAAGGAGGTTAGGCAGCAAGGGAAACTATGTAGGTCAAAGGTCGCATGAAGCAGAGTTAGAGACTAAAGAGAGGAGAGAATACCAATAGCATAGCCTAGAGGGGAGCATGCAGAGGGACTCTACAGAATATATCACTAACAGCAGGGGGACAACAGCTGTGCCAGACAGGCAGTGGTCTTTATGGCAGAGAGCGGCAGGGTAGACGGTATCAGAACATGGGACCACCTCATTGGAGAAAACACTCCTGAACTAGGTTTTTCCCTTTTGTTTAGAAAGAAAATAGCAACTTTAAGATATGACTAGCGACTTTGAGAACACCACATCTACTTCCTTGTTAAATTATTCTTAAAGCATGCAGCACTTTGGCCCTGAGCTAATTGTGGCGCATGTCTAGTGATAAATGTGTGGTCCTCTGTAGCTCAGCTGGTAGAGCACGGCGCTTGTAACGCTAAGGTAGTGGGTTCGATCCCCGGGACCACCCATACACAAAAAAATAATAATGTATACACGCATTACTAAGTCGCTTTGGATAAAAGCGTCTGCTAAATGGCATATTATATTCATATTATATATAAATAGATGTCATGTCAGTTGTGTGGGCCTGAAACGCAACGGTCAGCATGGAATCGAACTCAAGACACCTTTTCACACCATGCACATGCAGACCTTGTTGATTCATTGTTCAGTTTGTTTGGTAGAATTGACCAAAATAGTCTCGTGGCAGAGATCGGGTATGCCAAAGTCAGTCATGCAAAAGAAAACCCAAATCAGTTGGTGGGAGGAGCTATAGGAAGATGGGCTCATTGTAAAGACTGGAATGGAATAAATGGAACGGTATCAAACACATAAAAAGATATGGAAACCACATTGGACTCCGTTCCATTAATTAAATTCCCGCCATTACAATGAGTCCATCCTCCTATAGCTCATCCCACCAGCCTCCTCTGATTATCAAACGAACACGTCAATAAATAACAATCCAGTCAAATCGATGAACTTACCTAGCAATACTTTAGCATCCTCCACATCGAAGTCACCATCTCCATCGGCGTCATAGGACGAAAGTTTACCTAGCAAAGAAATGGTGAAATGAGGTGGGATAATACATTATGCAACTGAATCGCAGCAGGATGGGGGACACAATAGCATTTAAGTTATAATAACATGTTCATTGCCACTATTCTTACATGATTATTAGGATAATCATTAACATTCATTTCTGCATTTCCAGAAGTTACATTGTTAAATTGCTGTTAATTTTCATTAGAAATATTATCATGAGCAATTTTTTAAATGATCATATTAGCATTTCTGGTAAATCACATTAGCATTATAGTATCATTACATTTACATTTACATTTTAGTCATTTAGCAGACGCTCTTATCCAGAGCGACTTACATGTTAGCATTTCAATATTTATTTACTTTTAATTATGAGGTTTAATCACAACATAGCGTGGCTAAGTACAATTTTTAATAAATTAAGCTCAGCATAAAAAAAGCTTTGCATTACATTTGTTCATTTACATTGCATTATATATCTATGGCAGTGGAAACTTATTTAATTGGTATTAATAATTAGAAATACAGTGTGAAGGTAAAGTCTCTCCTATAACATGTTAATAAAAGACTAATGCAAAACTTAAAATTAGTCGTATTTTCTTCGATAAGAATTTAGCCAAAAGCAAGTGATTAGACGACATGTATGGGAAACAAATTGATTATTTCAATTAGGGTAGGAGGGTTAGTGAGTGAAATTGTTATTTCGGGGAATGATCATGGGCACAAATATCATACCTTGCAGTGTCTCAGAGAGGGTAATGTGCATGTCCTTTGCCTTGACTGCATGCAAGATTAAGACCAGACAAAAACATTCACATTGGAGATATTACAATATTTAAACTTCAATCCAAACATGATTAGTGTACAGGCATATTCAGAGCATGTGTACACATGCACCAAAGATAAAACAACGTCAAGGTTGAAAAGTTGAAAGTTTAATGTTAAAATGCATCAAAGAACTCAGTATCACTTTGAGTTATTCCCCAATGACATTCGTAACGGGTGAAGGCTGAATATTCTGTCAACAGACTATGACAGACTGCTTGCTGTAGCTAGAAGGAAATGTAGCCTTCCTACAGTTAACAGTTGTTTTTCCCTGTGAAGGTGTCACTTACCGATGACGCCTTGGTAGTCGACCAGGTCGAAATAGACGACGGCCACGGAGGTCCAGACCCCCAGGAGGGCCAGCACCATGAACCAGGTGAAGAAGGAGCTTCCTCCTGCTCCCTCAGGCTTCTTGCCATTCTTACTGGCTAGCTGTGCTTTGCCTTCTGTAATGGTGGGAGAGAGAAAAGAGTCAGACCTGAAGCCAATACTGTACAGGATAACGGCTACACACAAATGCAATTTGTTCCATTTGAGTTGTGAGATGGTCAAAATACAGGCCTAAATGTTACCCAAATCTGAAAGCCTTTGCAGTTAAAAGAAGAGATACACCGTGCCATAATACTTTGGATTCTGTTGTTTTGTTCTTGCATTCATATATAAAAACGGGAAGTAAAATGGGTAAGAATGGAGAAATCTCATGAGCCACTGACCACTTTTTTGCAACTTACAAAAGCAAATGGTATATAAAGTATTGCCTAAAAAAAACCATGAAAACCAAATGAATGCCACAAACCTCACGAGGATTGAACATAGGCCTAGAGTTTTCAAGTAACTGAATTATAATTCAGTGTTTGAATGTTCAAGCAAAAGCCCAAATCAATCTATGATTGTCCTCAGAGAGAGGCAAAAAGACAAAAGCAGTAGAGTAGCTAGTTATTCTGGGTGCTACTGACACTTTACACAGAGCACTATGGGTAAAAATATAAATGTATTCGAAGAGATGGCAATGGAAGAATGAACAGGTGGCAAGTCCCCTACCCTCATGCTAGGTCAAACCATTCACACAGGCAGATGCACCACATTCAGACACACAGCACCTGCTCATGTCAATGTCGGTGACAGTTATAAAAATATGTCTCGGTAAGTCCCAACAAAATATTCCATTGCCGTCTGTCATAATTAATGCACCAATTAGTCAGTCAACTTCACTTTTTTGCAAACCCATCCACACTCACACACTACAGTTTCTGATGTTTCATTCTAAAAGTTAAATAAAGTTGTTCCACATCTGCACCAAAACCAACCCAAACACTAGGCCCAACCCTTATCCACAGAGTTGTCCTTTCTTATTCTCCTCCCTAAGTTGAGTAGAACAAAAGCCAAAGTATCAACCCCAGATCTGCACCCCGGTTTCTCCACGATCACCAAAAAAGGAAAATGCCACGGGTCGAATCAATATCATATATATATATAAATAAATATTCCTCATTCCGGATGAAGTCGTTATCTGACGACATCGCTCCATCTACCTTCGGTCTGTTCGACAACCACCGCGGGTTCCAGCACCCGGGTGGGTTCCACTATCGGCTCTTCCATCCGCGCAGACCACCCCTGACCCGTCCGATTGGGAAAAGCCTCAGTGAGTCTCTTATCACCCGTATACTTCCCTCAAACCTCTGTGCCCTCCTCCTCTTTTTGTTCCCGGCAAACTCAGCCGGAACCTGATATGGGACCTGAACCAGAAAATACGGCTATTTTTAGAGCTGTCCACTTGTCCAGCCAGAAGATATTCAGGCACTCATATGGAGAGGCGCTGTTAACGCCATGACAACTGGCTCACTATTTAAAATGGATGATCAAACTAGCCTTCGCTAATGCTACTTAGCAAAAACATCACAACTAAATCAATACTTTGAGTCCAAAATAATATAATGATATGTAACTGTATTGACCCCCCCCCCCCCCCCCCCCCCCCCATCACCAGCTGCCTACCGCCCCGGTAACAATAGAACAGCATCAGGTAGAGAATGGGAGATCTTTACTAGGGGAACTGGCTGACACCTAATCACTGCCGTGTGATGGAGCGGGCTGAGGGAGAGGGATTTAAAGGCTACAGGCCACGCAAATCCTGGCTTTCAGTGACTTTGCCTGGATGCCAGGGGGATACTCGTTAGCCCTACATGGGCAGTTTAAGCAGGCTCTTAGAGAGAGTGGAGGCATTTAAAAACTGCCGACTACTCTGCACACTCAGGAATGAGGGACAACGCCTTTCACAAATGTACCTTACCTGTGACATAGGTAGAGGACAATCTGCTGCAAAAAAGTGCGAGCTGGGGGAAGGGGTTGGGTTATTTTTTGTGTTAAATGTTCCTCATCCAGAAAGTCACTCACATGACCACAAATCATAGCAAGGAACAGCAAACGCATCAATGCACAATGAGCCACACATTGCCAAGCACACATGGAAATCACATTCAAATACCAGGAGGCTGTGCAATCTACTGAAACAATAATCAACCACTATGCAGGCTAACCTGTCAAAACCCTGGTCACTGTCAGAACCCTGGTCACTGTCAGAACCCTGGTCGGAAAGTTGTTGGTCATGTTAAACCAGAATCTTTTGCACTGTATTTGACCATCTTTTTTCAATAGCCAAACAATTTTTCATCTGTTTGGTTTAAGGTATTTTCTCCTCGCTCTAGGCATACAGTGCCGAACACTAAGCCTACACAATATTTCAACAGAATGAACATAGCCTAAGTGGGCCTACAAATCAAATGCAAACAAACCATCTAAACAGCTTGCAATCCTCATTAGAACACTGGTACTGACAATCCTGAAAAGGGTACTGCCCTAATCTAGCAGACCTGGTTCTCATGGCCCCTAAGCCATTTGTGCAGGCTTTTACTACACACCATTCCCTACATACTCTCTGGAAAGCCACATAACTAACTCCCCCCTACATTTAAATTGTAGTCATTTAGCAGACGCTCTTATCCAGAGCGACTTACAGTTAGTGCATTCATCTGAAGATAGCTGGGTGGGACAACCACATAGCTCAGTCATAGTAAGTACATTTTCCCTCAAAGTAGCCATCAGCTAAGTCAGTGCTAGTAGGAGGAAGAAGTAAAGATGACCAACTGAATAGGGCCTCCATTGTGTACTACCTATCACAGACATGCATTAACATACACCTATACACACACACATCCTCTGACACAAAACTAACATTTACAGTGTGAATGTATTCACCACACACGCACACCACACGCACCGTATCTTTCAGCTGAATGTTCCATGACCACAACACCCCAGTAGTTCCACTGTAACCTCTTTTCAAATGTTTAGTAAGTTAGTTGGAGGAAACTCACTCCCTCTCCCTGTTCTCGGTCTCTGCTTGTGTCATTTATGGGTACATATTGTTCAGTTTGAGCTTACATAAGGATCCTGTGGAATGTCTGCTTTGACACACTCCCCTTCTCTTGCGCTTCTCTCTCTTTCAAACATAAACACACCCTCAAAACACACACCTTGACATTTTGGGACAGATGTTGGTGGCTGTTGTCACAGTGACAAGATAATGTTACTCCCGTCCTCGAGCCCCCACACCCTGACTCTCCCAAGGCCAGTTTGATCTAATCATGATCTGTTCATTTTTCCAGAGAATGCTCTCTGGTTATAACCATAAAACCTGCCTGGTATCCAGCCCACATATGGTGCCCCACCCTCATTCACCTATACACTGTCATGGTTTGGTTAAAAGGGCCAGTCACCAAGTCCACAGATAGAGTTAAAAGAGACTCCAGACCAGAAACAGGGAAAATAGAGGGTTACCCTATTGCTGAAAATTCCTTCTAAATACATGGAGCCATCACACCAGTCAGAATGCATAACCAAAATTGCCAGTAACGTAACAACATTGTACTAGCATTATATGGGCTATGTGGGAACATCAGGAAATTCGCCTAACAATGGTGCTTAGTTGAAATCTAAAATGAACAGTGTTGCACAGTATACCGAAACTTTGGTACTTTTTCCAGATACTAGAACATGAAAAACGGTTCAGTCCTATAATTATTTTAAACTTTCAGTACGTCTGTCAAATGTGTCTCATGTCATATATACGGAATACAGATTGAGAGGATCGAATCTGTCTAGTAATTTGTCTGAATCTTCAAGGGAGCATTAGCTAGCTAGCCAGGCTGCTGACACAGCGCGCGCGAGCCACTTTTGAGAAGTGATAGATTAATTTGTATTTTAAGAATAATGACTAAAGGATTTCACCCCAAATACAGTATAGATGTGTGAACGGTGTTAGAGTTATAATGTAGGGGCAACACACTAACAGAGGGGGGCGGGACTAAACATTCCAGGGTGAAGGGGACTGAGAAAACTGGTTTAAAAAAGCCTCCTAAAGGTGGGCGGAGCAAAGTGCCTTTGTGTGTCAAGGGGTATAAAGCTGTATGTATGTTTTTTGGCGCCAGAGCTCTCCATGATTAAAAATACAGATCATTCTTGCTGGTTGTGGACCTTGAATCATTTATGATTATAACCAGAGCCTTACAACCCCTGGTAATGATTCAAGCTTAGGTTGAATTAGAGATAGAAATTCTCATGACAAGAAGCAAGCCAGACTTCTGAGAAGCGAGTGAGAGAGAGAAAATGCAACAGCATGGCTTCTAACAAAAACATCATACCTCCACACCCACAGCTTGTTGACTGGCTCCAGAAGCTAACTATGAGAATACTTTGCTTAGCGAGCAGATGAGGGCCAGCCCACCAAAACTACTAAGCAAAAGGTGTTCCAAAGCAGTGCAAGGGAGGTTTAGTTCCAAAACGACATAAAAAACTGTTTCACACATGACATTTGCATTGTAACGTTATTCTACTAGCAACTAAATTCGAATTATTTTTGAGTGAAAATGTCATGAACATATATTCAGCATGACATTCATGTAAACATTTTAATATGATTACAACCCAAAAGTAATGTGAAACACTTCGCATTTGTCTGGGCTTGCTAACACTGAGGTATAATAAGAACTAGAGACTGTGTCCAAGATGTCCGACGTTGTTTTAAACGTAATCTACTCACATTCACATACACCGATTCATGGACCTTCTATATCCGGGCTGCATTCGGTTTACACGGCCCAACATCACACGCGCACTAGTAGGGCTGGGAATTGCCAGGGACCTCACGACACGATATTATCACGATACTTAGGTGCCAATACGATATGTATTGCGATTCTCACGATTCTATATGTATTGCAATTCGATACAGTGATTTTATTGCAATTCGATTCGATGTTCCAAACATATTGCTGCTGCAGAGGGACAAGAGCGAGCCATGAGAAAACAAGTTTTGATCAGTCATGGAAATAAGTGCTTAAAACAAATTGGCTCCCTATTTAAAAAGAAGATGGAGAACAAGTTAAGTTAATTTTGGTGCAGGTACAGCAAACTAGCGCAAAATAATATTGCAAAATTGACAAAAATAATATCCTGATATGTAACTATTGATCCCCCCCCCATCACTAAGCACTAGAACAGTGTGCACAGGGAGCAGCGACGACGTTATCACGTCATCCAAAAACATGGCAGACATTGGATGAATATAAAAATGTCAAAAATGTTATGAATTTATTTGCATTTTAATGAGGGAAATAAGTATTTGACCCCTCTCAATCAGAAAGATTTCTGGCTCCCAGGTGTCTTTTATACAGGTAACGAGCTGAGATTAGGAGCACACTCTTAAAGGGAGTGCTCCTAATCTCAGCTTGTTACCTGTATAAAAGACACCTGTCCACAGAAGCAATCAATCAGATTCCAAACTCTCCACCATGGCCAAGACCAAAGAGCTCTCCAAGGATGTCAGGGACAAGATTGTAGACCTACACAAGGCTGGAATGGGCTACAAGACCACCGCCAAGAAGCTTGGTGAGAAGGTGACAACAGTTGGTGCGATTATTCGCAAATGGAAGAAACACAAAAGAACTGTCAATCTCCCTCGGCCTGGGGCTCCATGCAAGATCTCACCTCGTGGAGTTGCAATGATCATGAGAACGGTGAGGAATCAGCCCAGAACTACACGGGAGGATCTTGTCAATGATCTCAAGGCAGCTGGGCCATAGTCACCAAGAAAACAATTGGTAACACACTACGCCATGAAGGACTGAAATCCTGCAGCGCCCGCAAGGTCCCCCTGCTCAAGAAAGCACATATACAGGGCCGTCTGACGTTTGCCAATGAACATCTGAATGATTCAGAGGAGAACTGGGTGAAAGTGTTGTGGTCAGATGAGACCAAAATCGAGCTCTAGGGCATCAACACAACTCGCCGTGTTTGGAGGAGGAGGAATGCTGCCTATGACCCCAAGAACACCATCCCCACTGTCAAACATGGAGGTGGAAACATTATGCTTTGGGGGTGTTTTTCTGCTAAGGGGACAGGACAACTTCACTGCATCAAAGGGACGATGGGTCGTGGATGGGTATTGCAGCATGACAATGACCCAAAACACACAGCGAAGGCAACAAAGGAGTGACTCAAGAAGAAGCACATTAAGGTCCTGGAGTGGCCTAGCCAGTCTC